AGAAATCATAAAAATCAGATCAGAAAGAAATGAAAAAGAAATGAAGGAAATGATAGCAAAGATCAATAAAACTAAAAGCTGGTTCTTTGAGAAGATAAATAAAATTGATAAACCATTAGTCAGACTCATCAAGAAAAAAAGGGAGAAGACTCAAATCAATAGAATTAGAAATGAAAAAGCAGAAGTAACAACTGACACTGCAGAAATACAAAAGATCATGAGAGATTACTACAAGCAACTCTATGCCAATAAAATGGACAACCTGGAAGAAATGGACAAATGCTTAGAAATGCACAACCTGCCAAGACTGAATCAGGAAGAAATAGAAAATATGAACAAACCAACCACAAGCACTGAAATTGTAACTGTGATGAAAAATCTTCCCCAAAACAAAAGCCCAGGACCAGATGGCTTCACAGGCAAATTCTATCAAACATTTAGAGAAGAGCTAACACCTATCCTTCTCAAACTCTTCCAAAATATAGCAAAGGGAGGAACACTCCCAAACTCATTCTATGAGGCCACTATCACCTTGGTACCAAAACCAGACAAGGATGTCACAAAGAAAGAAAACTACAGGCCAATATCACTGATGAACATAGATGCAAAAATCCTCAACAAAATACCTGCAAACAGAATCCAACAGCACATTAAAAGGATCATACACCATGATCAAGTGGGGTTTATTCCAGGAATGCAAGGATTCTTCACTATTCGCAAATCAATCGACGTGATACACCATATTAACAAACTGAAGGGGAAAAACCATATGATCTTCTCAATAGATGCAGAGAAAGCTGTCAACAAAATTCAACACACATTTATGGTAAAAACCCTGCAGAAAGTAGGCATAGAGGGAACTTTCCTCAACATAATAAAGGCCATATATGACAAACCCACAGCCAACATCGTCCTCAATGGTGAAAAGCTGAAAGCATTTCCAGTAAGATCAGGAACAACAGAAGGTTGCCCACTCTCACCACTCTTATTCAACAGAGTTTTGGAAGTTTTAGCCACAGCATTCAGAGAAGAAAAGGAAATAAAAGGAAACCAAATCAGAAAAGAAGTAAAGCTGTCACTGTTTGCAGATTACATGATACTATACATAAAGAATCCTAAAGATGCCACCAGAAAACGACTAGAACTAATCAATAAATTGGTAAAGTAGCAGGATACAAAATTAATGCACAGAAATCTCTGGCATTCCTATACACTAATGATGAAAAATCTGAAAGTGAAATCAAGAAAACACTCCCATTTACCATTGCAACAAAAAGAATAAACTATCTAGGAATAAACCTACCTAAGGAGACAAAAGACCTGTATGCAGAAAATTATAAGACACTGATGAAAGAAATTAAAGATGATACAAACAGATGGAGAGATATACCATGTTCTTGGATTGGAAGAATCAACATTGTGAAAATGACTCTACTACCCAAAGCAATCTATAGATTCAATGCAATCCCTATCAAACTACCACTGGCATTTTTCACAGAACTAGAACAAAAAATTTCACAATTTGTATGGAAACACAAAAGACCCCGAATAGCCAAAGCAATCTTGAGAACAAAAAATGGAGCTGGAGGAATCAGGCTGCCTGACTTCAGACTATACTACAAAGCTACAGTAATCAAGACAGTATGGTACTGGCACAAAAACAGAAAGATAGATCAATGGAATAGGATAGAAAGCCCAGAGATAAACCCATGCACATATGGTCACCTTATCTTTGATAAAGGTGGCAGGAATATACAGTGGAGAAAGGACAGCCTCTTCAATAAGTGGTGTTGGGAAAACTGGACAGCTACATGTATAAGAATGAGATTAAATCACTCCCTAACACCATACACAAAAATAAGCTCAAAATGGATTAAAGACCTAAATGTAAGGCCAGAAACTGTCAAACTCTTAGAGGAAAACATAGGCAGAACACTCTATGACATAAATCACAGCAAGATCCTTTTTGACCCACTTCCTAGAGAAATGGAAATTAAAACAAAAATTTAAAAATGGAACCTAATGAAACTTCAAAGTTTTTGCACAGCAAAGGAAACCATAAACAAGACCAAAAGACAACCCTCAGAATGGGAGAAAATATTTGCAAATGCAGCAACTGACAAAGGATTAATCTCCAAAATTTATAAGCAGCTCATGCAGCTCAATAACAAAAAAACAAACAACCCAATCCAAAAATGGGCAGAAGACCTAAACAGACATTTCTCCAAAGAAGATATACAGACTGCCAACAAACACATGAAAGAATGCTCAACATCACTAGTCATTAGAGAAATACAAATCAAAACTACAGTGAGATATCATCTCACACCAGTCAGAATGGCCATCATCAAAAAGTCTATAAACAATAAATGCTGGAGAGGGCGCTGCTGGTGGGATTGTGAATTGGTACAGCCACTATTGAGAACAGTATGGAGGCTCCTTAAAAAACTACAAATAGAACTACCATATGACCCAGCAATCCCACTACTGGGCATATACCCTGAGAAAACCATAATTCAAAAAGAGTCATGTACCAAAATGTTCATTGCAGCTCTATTTACAATAAGCAGGAGATGGGAACAACCTAAGTGTCCATCATCGGATGAATGGATAAAGAAGATGTGGCACATGTATACAATGGAATATTACTTAGCCATAAAAAGGAACGAAATTGAGCTATTTGTAATGAGGTGGATAGACCTAGAGTCTGTCATATAGAGTGAAGTAAGTCAGGAAGAGAAAGACAAATACTGTATGCTAACACATATATATGGAATTTAAGAAAAAAAAATGTCATGAAGAGCCTAGGGGTAAGACAGGAATAAAGACACAGACCTACTAGAGAATGGACTTGAGGTTATGGGGAGGGGGATGGGTAAGCTGTGACAAAGCGAGAGAGTGGCATGGACATATATACACTACCAAACGTAAAATAGATAGCTAGTGGAAAGCAGCCGCATAGCACAGGGAGATCAGCTCGGTGCTTTGTGACCACCTAGAGGGGTGGGAGGGAGGGAGATGCAAGAGGGAAGAGATATGGAAACATATGTATATGTATAACTGATTCACTTTGTTATAAAGCAGAAACTAACACACCATTGTAAAGCAATTATACTCCAATAAAGATGTTAAAAAAAGAGAGAGAGAATAAAGGAGAAAAATCACATGATCATCTCAATCAATGCAGAAAAAGCACTTGACAAAATTCAATGCACTTTCATAATAAAAACACTCTTCAAGGGACTTCCCTGGTGATGCAGTGGTTAAGACACTGCAGGGGGCCCAGTTTCAATCCCTGGTCAGGGAACTAGATCTCACATGCATGCTGCAACTAAGAGTTCACATGCCACAGCTAAAGAGCCAGCGAGCCGCAATTGAGACCCTGCACAACCAAATAAATTAATTAATTAAAAAAAAAAAACTCATCAAATTAGGAATAGAAAGAAACTACCTCACCATAATAAAAGGCTTATGTAAAAAACTCACAGCTAACATCATACTCATAGGCAAAATACTGAAAACTTTTCCTCTAAGATCAAGAATAAGACAAGGATGCCTGATTTTGACACTTTTATTCAACATAGGATTTGAGGTGCTAGCCAGACCAATTTGAAAAGATAAAGGAAAAATGATATCCAAATAGGAAAAGAAGAGTTAAATTATTTGTTACAGATGACATTATTGTATATGTTGAAACCCTAAAGATTCCTCAAGAACACTATTAGAACAAATAAATGAAGCCAACAATGCTGAAAGATACAAAATAAACACATAAAATCAGTTGTGTTTCTAAACATTAACAATGAAAAACATGAAAAGGAATTTATGAAAACAATTTCATTCACAACAGTACCAAAAAGAATAAAATACTTAGGAATTAATTTAAACAAGGAGGTGAAAGATGTACAATGAAAACTATAAAACATTGCTGAAAGAAGTTAAAGAAATCATAAATAAATAGAAAGATATCCAGTGTTCATGGACTGGAAGATTTAATATTGTTAAGATGTCAATACCAGAAAAGAGATTTACAGATTCAAAGCAATCTCTTTCAAAATACCAACAATATATTTCACAGAAATAGCAAAACTTTCCATTATTAAATTAATATGGAATCTCAGGGAATCCTGAATAGACAAAACAATTTTGAAAAAAAAATAAAGTTAAATGTATCACACTTTCTGATTTCAAAATTTACTACAAAGATACACAAATCAAAACTGTGTGGTACTAGCATAAAGACAGAAATATAAACCAGTAGAAAAGAATAAAGAGTCCAAATATAAACCCTCCCAAATGTGGTCAAATAATTTTCAACAAGAGTGCCAAGACATTCAACAAATTGTGCTGAGAAAACTTTTCAACAAATTGTGCTGAGAAAACTTGATAAAGTTGGACCGTTACCTTAACACTATATATAAAAATTAACTCAAAATGGATCAAAGATCTAAACAAAACAGCTAAAAAGTTTTTTAATTCTTAGAAAAAAAACATAGGGGAAAATCTTCATGATATTAGATTTGGCAATGTTTTCTTGACTGTTACACCAAAGGCATGGGCAAAAAATGAAAAAATAATGAATTAGACTCATCCAAATTAATAAATTTTGAGCATCAAAAGACATCATCAACAGAGTAACAAGGCAAAAAACAGAATAAGAGAAGTATTTGCATATCACACATCCGATAATTAATTAGCATCCAGAATGTATAAGAAATCCTACAACTCAAAAACAACAGCAAGGGCTTCCCTGGTGGCACAGTGGTTAAGAATCTGCCTGCTCGCTAGCTCGCGGCTGCCGCTGTTGCTGAGCTGCGCTCCGGCCGCTCCCCGCGGCCAGTGGATGGGGGTGTCCAGCTGAGCCCCGCGATCCGCCTTCCTCCTCCAGGACCTGCACAGCTTGGCAGGAACATGTACACTGACTGGGCTTTGCTGAGGAGCAGTGGGAAACCGAAATAAACGAATCCTGAACATTGCAGTTGTCCTATTGCTGTGCAAGAATGGAGGCCCCACTGGTGAGTTTGGATGAAGAATTTGAGGACCTTCGGCCCTGCTGCTCGGAGGACCCAGAAGAGAAGCCACGGTGTTTCTACGGCTCATCTCCCCACCATCTAGAGGACCCCTCCCTCTCTGAGCTTGAGAATTTTTCTTCTGAAATAATCAGCTTCAAGTCCATGGAGGACCTGGTGAATGAATTTGATGAGAAGCTCAATGTCTGCTTTCGGAACTACAATGCCAAGACCGAGAACCTAGCTCCCGTGAAGAACCATTTCCAGATCCAAGAGGAGGAGGAGGAGCCCCTGCAGGATGAGGAGTAAGCTGTCTTAATTGCCCTCTCTTGCCTCAGATTAGAACCCTGGAATCTGGGGCTTCTTGACATAGAACGAGTTTCTGTCCTTGGGTTCATGGCGTATTACTTATATTTTTCTCTGTGAGGCAGTGCCCTGGTAACTGCTGACATTGTTCAGTTATGTCCCTTTACAGTTACTCATAGAGCTTTCTTAAGTTGAAACCACAAAGGAATGAAGGATTTTTAGGAAATGGGTTTTCCTAGATGCAAAATTGAATTTCAGGAGCATATGGTACATTTGGGGGTCTGTCTATCTTCAGCTTTCTTTATATCCATGGTAACCCACCCAGATATTAGAAATAAGGACCAGAAAAAAATTTAGTCAACTGTGACAGAGGAATATATGTCATTGGAAGAATTTGCTTTATAAAACACCGGGATTGTGAAAATCTCCAAATTGTTTATAACCCCTCAGGACTGGAAAAATTATCTACAAAAGTTAAGATATGTCCAAATAAGAAACCATACACATTGAACCAAGAGAACAGGGAATTACCCTGGACACAATAAAGGTGATAACCAGGTGAAGTGGCTTTTGAGTATGCAGATTCCCTGTGTCACTTACTAGCCACCTTGCAGGGTCTTAACAGAAGTCAAGAAAAGCAATTTGAGAAAAGTGCTGTTCAAGGAGGGACTAGAAAAGAGAAGAAGGGAGTGATTTGTCATATAAATTAAGGAAAGGTGTTTGGGGCATTTAGTAAAAATAGGCGTAAATTCCCCATAGGGATAAAATATGCATCAACTGTTCTTTAGGGTTCACACAAGAAATGTCAAGCTGTTGGCAATGGAAGTTTGGAGCAACTGTACTTTTGGTTTCTCTTTTTATGGACTTGGGTGGGAAGAGTTGCCCATGAGTAAGTGGGGGAAGAGGTTTGACCCACAGGATTGAACCTGATTGTATTGGGCAGATAGTTGCTTATTTGATGACTACTGAGACTGTATCTCTGTGAATACAAGGGTTGTATATCTGTCTGTCTTATTCATTATTATCTCTCCACTGTCTGATTCAGCACATGGTGTGTGGTAAGTGATCAAATAATATTTTTGGAGTGAATAGTGAGTATCGAATGACCTGGATGAGCAATGATAGCTAGCCTCGTAGGTGCATGTAATGTATTTCTAGGCTCACGCCACTTACTTCGTTTCTTTTTAATTAATGCTTGCCTGAAGGCATGATCACAGAGAACATTTCACTCTGGTGACCAGTACTATAACTGTGGGCTACGTGTTTCAATTCAATCTTAAGTTTCAAATTGATTCTTTTAGCTTCTGAGCCTTTTATAATTTGCTCAACTCCTCGAGGTCATAAAAGAATGGCTCTGGGGCTTTATTATACAGAGTAGCTTTTACTGTTATCTACTGCATTGCACCAGGCAATGGACTAGAAACACGATGAATTGTGATTTTCATACTCTCACTAACTCACCGTGTGACCTTGGGCTTGTCACTTAACTCTAGTTGACTGCGTGGGTCCTCATCTTTGGGACCTCCCGAGCTCAATCTTGATGAAGCAGGGCTAAGGACTTGCCAATAACCTAATTTCTCACCTCACCCAGGCTGTGCTCGGAAAATTCCTTTTGCTTCCAACAAATAATTTCTCCCCTGTCCAAACCACCCCTTTGCCTCATTAAGGACAGAGGCCCCGCAAGCAGGTTAAAAAAAAGAAAAAAAAAAAGAATCTGCCTGCCAAGGCAAGGGACATGGGTTCGAGCCCTGGTCCAGGAAGATCCCACATGCCACGGAGCAACTCAGCCCGTGAGCTACAACTACTGAGCTTGCACTCTACAGCCCATGAGCCACAACTACTGAAGCCTGCATGCCTAGAGCCTGTGCTCCGCAACAAGAGAAGCCGCCACAATGAGAAGCCCGTGCATCGCAAGGAAGAGTAGCCCCCACTGGCTGCAACTAGAGAAAGCCCGCGCGCAGCAACAAAGAACCAACACAGCCAAAAATAAATAAAAATTTATAAATTAAAAAAAAAAAACAGCAAAAAGAATGTGATTCATAAATAGGCAAGGGACCTGAACAGACATTTCCCCAAAGATATACAAATAGCCAATAGACACATCAAAGGAGGCCTAACATCACTAATCATTAGGGGAATATGAATCAAAACCACAATGAGATACCACCTCACACCAATTACGGTGGCTATTACTAAAAAAAAAAAAAAAAGGCAAACAAGTGCTGGCCAGGATGTAGAAAAATTGGAACCCTTGTGCATTGCTGGTGGGAATGTAAAATGATGCAACCACTGCGGAAAACACTATGGTGGTTCACCAAAAAATTGAACATAGAACTACTATTTGATCCAGCAATTCCACTTCAGGGTATATACACAAACGTATTAATAGCAGGAACTTGAACAGATATTTGTACACCAATGTTCACAGCAGCAGTATCTAAAATAGCCAAAAGGTGAAACAATGCAAATGTCCATCAAGCGATGAATGGATAGACAAAATGTGGCAAGTCATACAATGGAATATTATTCAGCTATAAAAAGAATGAAATTCTAATATGTTACATTGATGAACCTTGGAGACATTATTCTAACTGAAATAAGCCAGACACAAAAGGAAAAATATAATATGATTCCTCTTATATGAGCTACCTAAAATAGCCAAATGCATAGACAGTAAGTAGAATAGTGTCTAGCGTGGGCTGCAGGGAGAGGGAATGGGGAGTTATTGTTTATTTAAAGGGTACTGAGTTCCCATTTGGGTTGGTGAAAATATCTGGAGATGGATAGTGGTGACAGTTGCACAACTATGTGAATGTACTTAGTACCACTGAACTAAGTAAAATGGTTAAAATGGTAAATTTTATGTCAAGTATATTTTTTCACAATAAAAAGTTTTAAAAAAAAAAGCAGACAATCTATTTCTCTGTGCCATGCTACTGCAACCAATTAATTGGCAGAATAATCTTCTGCAAAGACATTGGTTATCCTATAAGTTCCTTTATCAATAACCAGTGGTAGCTTTCAAGTGACCATCATACACCAAAATGTGCTAACACTTTAGTGTGATCCTACGTGCTCATCTTTTACCTGCAGGTATAAAAGAGTGTTAAGTAGAAGAAGCAGCAGCTGTGTGGGAATGAGGTCAATAAAAAGGATGTAGCCTCCCTTTCAAAAAGAGAAGGCAGGAGACAGGAGAATGTCTTGTATCTTAAGGGATTCAGGCTGAAGTACTTAGCTGAGAAGGGTCAGGTGTTTTTGCAACTTAGTCCCAGAAATGAGAATAAGAATAAAAATGCAAATATCATTTTATATTACATTGAGAGAGATATACATATATTTAGGGAGAGAAAGCAAATCTAGCAAGAGATCACCACTGGATAAATCTAGGTGAAAAGGATATGGGATTTCCTTGTCATTGTTTTCCAAGGCAAAGTTTGATTTGAAAAATTAAGTATTAAAAGCACAATTATACCATGGGTCTCCTAGCATATTTTTGATTGCTATTATATTAAAAGTTTCCTATAATATCTATGCATGTTTCATTATCAGAATATATAAACATGATATATTCAAATATCTCAAATATTCAGTTTTATATTTATAGGTCAAATATTCAAGATACATCTAATATTATCAAAAAAAAAAAAATGGAGAAAAAGCTCTATCAGTTACTACTCATGTGGCCTTAAACAAGGAGTCTCACCTAGCTAAACCTAAGTTTTTAAAGATTGGGGGTGGTGATGGTGGTGGTGGGATGAACTGGGAGATTGGGATTGACATATATACACTAATAATATGTATAGAATAGATAACTAATAAGAACGTGCTGTATAAAAATAAATAAATTAAATTAAATTTAAAAAAAAGATAATTATAGGGGTAATGTGAGAAAAATTATAGGTCCAGCCTGGAGAATGTTTTGATAATAAAATTAAATACTATAAGCTTATATCTGAGCATAGCATGCGACACAAAATAGGATTTCAGTACATGTTTGTTGAATTAGATGGAGATTTATCCACAATAATTGCACTGAACAAGTTGGTCCATTGGGTGCATTTGAACACAGTCTGTGAACTCTAGGTTACTAAGAAACAAGGTCTACAAATAAAAATTTTTTATCAGAGCAAAGCAGCAAGCAAATTCAAACACTGCTCCTGCGCCATCTCCTTTTGTCTAATTCTTCAGTGTGGGGAGTAAAGTATACAAAGGAAAACATAGGCCTCTAGCAGCTACATTATAATTTCTGCAGTTGCCCAGTCCCCTCTTTAGAGTGAAGACTAAAGGAAGCTGTAGGAAGATGTGAGAGGAATAACTGCAAACAACTTTATATATGGAATCTAAAAAAAAAAAAAAAAAAAAGGTCATGAAGAACCTAGGGGCAAGATGGGAATAAAATCGCAGACCTACTAGAGAATGGACTTGAGGACACAGGGAGGGGGAAGGGTAAGCTGGGACAAAGTGAGAGAGTGGTAGTGTATATACGGACATATACACTACCAAATGTGAAACAGATAGCTAGTGGGAAGCAGTCAGTCGCATAGCACAGGGAAATCAGCTCGGTGCTTTGTGACCACCTAGAGGGGTGGGATAGGGAGGGTGGGAGGGAGGGAGACACAAGAGGGAACAGATATGGGAACATAGGTATATGTATAACTGATTCACTTTGTTATAAAGCAGAAACTAACACATCACTGTAAAGCAATTATACTCCAATAAAAACGTTAAAAAAAACAAAAAAACCCCACCCATTCAAAGGGCTAAAAATAAGATAAAATGGGGAATCAAAAAACCCTGCAGGGGTGCTCCACACTCTCCTGTGAGTGTTTCCTTTTGCCTTTGCCTCAATAAACTGCTTCTTTGTTCTCTTTGCTCCAAAAAAACAAAAAACAAAAAAAAACACAGATCTATGATTTCTTAGCTGTGAATAGGCTACAGAATTTTTAACTTCAATTAACAAAGTACAGCTGTTCAGTCCTGCTCAGGAGTGGTTTTCAAAATTT